TTCAGGGAAAAGTACAGGAATGTCAGAAGCAGAGTTTCTGTTTTGAAAATCAACACTTCCCATATAAATATGTTTTGTTGAACATTTCCAAGCCATTTTAATTCTAAAAAGACCAAAATCAGGAAGGTACATGAGACACTGAACTACAGAATTTCATTGTCACTTGAGGATTCTTCAATAGAGATAAACTAAGTTACCCCAAACAGCTGCTCAGAGTGGAACTTCATTTCACTGGAAATGAAACATTTTATGGAATTAGTTTTCATCCAGAAAGTAGCACTAAAGAGATGGGCAGACTATTCTGTATTTTATTGCCTAGCGTCTTGCCCAGAAATCGGTATTCATGTAAGGTTCAAACTCACATTTGCCTGATTCAGAATAATCAGAGATGAAAAGGCCTTCCCTGAATCAAACAGAGCAGGACTTGAACTTGGAGCTCCCATACCCCAGACTAGTCCCCTCACTGGTGGGGATTCAGCACTTACATCTCTTGCCAAATTGCAACATTTGAACAGAATTCTGTTTATGCAAAAACATTCAAAAAGTGTTAGTTTTCATTCCAGTGTGGAATTGAAACCAAACTTTGAAACCTCAGAATTGCTGCAAAACAGAGTTGTCCTCCAGTCAGCTCAAAGGGCTGCTTTGTGTCTCAGGAGCTTGCAAAATAACTAGATCACAGCGCCGGGTCTGAGCCCATATTTTGTGACTGTGTGTTTCTGGGGGGGTTTAAGACACTACACAAGCTTGCAATACCTCAGCGTCAATATGTTTAACCTGAGTTCTGCCAATATCATATATATTCTTGCCCTGCTGTGTGGCTTTGACTAGCAGTTGAATAGGCAACAACTTTAGAACTCGCACAAGCAGCAAACAGCACTGAAGTCGTTCTGTCAGGACTGGCTGTGCATTTCTGCTGCCCTGTGCATTAAAGTGCGGGTCCTAATTTTATTGCCATTGTTTTATTTCTTGTTTCCAAAGTTCAGTGACACTGGAGTTCAATCAAAGGCACCCAATCCAACCTAAAGAATTTACAGGCAAAGCGCTGTTGTGCTTTGAAGCTTCCTGACTGAACAGGGGCTGTACAGTGTTTCCATTTTCCTTGGCACCTGAGCCCTGTTCCCTAAAGGCTTAGGTAGTGTTAAGGGTTGTGCAGAGGTTTGTGCTTAGTTTAAACCGCATACAGGAAGCTTTCTTTTAGCTCAACTTCTCTATTGTTATGCTATATTAATAGGCTCTTTTGAAGCTTAAGAAAGGACTGATCTGCCTAAATAATAGTTCTGGGTGGGGGAAGTTATTTAGGAGCATGTTTGCAAAACCTGAAAGGCTATTTCATTTAACCATTTCCTTGCCTGCCTGTGCAGCCAGGTTTTGCTCATTCCGGTGCTCAGAAAGAGGAAGCTGCACTCCCATTTTTGAAATTATGGGGTTTGAGTCATAGGTATTTATTTATAAGCAAATGAACATATTTATTCTTAGATTCCTGTAGTCAAGCCAGAAAATGTTGGCTAGCCGCTATACAAACATACAGATATGCTCTGAATTTTGATCCTGCCCTGACTTTGTACACAGATTCAACAGAGAAGTACCCCAACCTTTTGCTGGAAGGGGTGATTTTGTTCTGCTCATATCAGCAGTCAAAATCAAAGGCAGTTCCAGAAGTGCCTTGCTCGGACCAGCCCTCAGTGCCACCAGCTCTTTGCTGCTGCTGTCCCCTTTAATTCTGCTGGCAGGCAGCTCAGTCCCCTTCTTCTAAGCTCAGGGTTCAGCCTCGTCAGTCCTGACACCCAGTTCTCCCTGCTGGGTGCTCATTCTTGCACTTCTCAAGCCTTGAGTGGGACCTGTCTAGTGTCTTAAAAACTGAAAATGAGCACACCCTTCGTCCCTGCTGCTTTAGGTGGGGATGTGCAGCCATGTGCTTTTCACCCCCTGCCTCCCACTTCCTCCAAGGCATGGTGCCAAAGCAGATGTGTCACTTTGCAGCAGGAGTGCAGGACGATACAGTGCTTAGGGGAAGTGGCCAAACTGCTCAGCTTCTGCTTTGATTAAAATTTTTTTTTTCATTCTTTTTCAAGTGACATTTGCAACATCAACAGTTTCTCCCTTCCACCCAGAAATCCCCCTGCACCACCAGCAGAGCTTTTTCTTTTGCAAAAAGAGGAAGAGCCAAAGGGGCTGTGAAGTCTGCTGGAGACTTCTCAGCTGTAGGCCAAAATAATACAGCCTGCTCTAGAGCATTATAGGAATGATCGGAGACCCTCAGACAGGTAGCCATAACAGTCAAGGATTGGCGGCTTTGAGTGAGTTTCTTCTCAGTTAGAGCCGAACATGCACCCAACTACCTCCAACTGCTTGGACTCATGGGGAGAAATTTGAAAGAGAACTAATACATCTTGGGTTTTTTCTCCCTCATTTAGAAAGACATTTGTATTTCAAAAATCTGGGCTACATATTGCACCACTGTGGCAAAGAAAAAGGGCTTGAAGGGCCCTAAAGAGGCATGTTCATCGTTGTTAAAAAGTATACTGTATGATATAGATGACATATTACTCAGTTTCAAGAGCAGAGCCCAAACTTCAAGCATGCTTTCCTGTGGTCAAGAAAAAAAAAAAAACAAAACAACAGAACTCCAAACATTCATCAAAACTATTTTATCTGATTGTTACAGATCATAGTGGCGTTCATGCAGTTGTGGCCTGCTTGCAGCCAAAACTCCGAAATGGCCATCCCATAACATAGTCAGTTCTCTTCCACTGGGGTGTTTCCCAGTGGAAACAAGTTCTTTATAAAGCAGATTTTCTGAGAGCGAAGAATGCTCATGGGAGTAAGCAATGCAAATCTTCTGTTTACTGACAGTGACATTAGACTTTCTAAATATATTCCTCCAGTAAGGGCCATAAAAACCTGGGTTTTTTTTCCCCTGTTCAACATGTTGAGAAGCAGAAGGGATGCCTGTAATCTGTGATGAACTTTTAAGTATTTTTTTTATTTAAAAGTTAAAAAGTTTCAAATTTACTAACATTTTGTTGCCAAAGGAAATCACTTGAGAATAAGGATTTGTGGTTTGCATAGATGTGGAAGAAGGGATTGGCTTAAAAGATTCTTTTGCATAAATAAAGGAAATACATTATTTGTAGGTGCTGCTAGTGAATGCCACTGACCTGTGCTAGCTGGGAATGTCAGTGCTAGAAAGGCACTTCCTCTTCCTTGAAACCCTGTGAGAGAGGCTAGGATTTAATTACTTGCTCTACATCTGGTTGATGAACCTTTCAAACAGAGGAAGCACATCCTGGTTCAGGATTCAGGCCTTCTTCCAAATCAAGAAGAATATACTCTTCAGATGTCCCGTCACCTGCCTTTTGAATAGCTGATGGCTCCTGCTGCTTGCCAGCTAACTGTGTTACCAATGGAAAAGTGATTATATGTGAAATTGAAGGGTCAGAGGTACTTCTTGTTCTAACTGTAAACTCTTTTCCGCCACGCCTTTCAGCATTGCTCACCTTCATTTTGAGAGGCACAGATTAGAGGAAACAGAGGTTAGTGGCTAATGTAGTTAGTGGCAACTTCCCTTCGGAGCTTGTTAAGCTTTTCTTTTTCTTATTGACTTATTTGGCCCGATACACAGAACCTGAGTCAGTGACATTGCTGTAAGCATCCGCCAGAGTGCCATGCTGCCAACACAAGCCACTTGCTTAACTCTAGTTGCAGCTTCAGTTGTTTTAGTTCATTTAAGTTAGACTCCCAGGGCTTCTTCCAATTAATCCCCTCCCTCATGGAAAGATAATATAGTACATTTGCTCTGACTCAAAGGAAGAAATAGACGGGGAGAGAACGTTTCCACATGTCCAATCAAATCCGGTTCAGATAAACTCTGACCCTCCTTCTCTAATCTTTTTTCAGAATAAAACTGTTCTCTTTCAAACTGTTCACCTTCCCAAAAAATTCCCCAAACTGAACTAGAAGGGTCACATCTAGAGGTGATAGATCTCTCGCCTCTAGAACCAGAGGCATTGTTGGTTCTGTACCAACAATGGTACAGAATGGTTCTGTACCATTTCCAGAACATCTCCCTGTTGTAGAATATGTCTCTATTGTTCTTCTATTCCCTATCCCTATATGTTCCACCTAAGAGTACGTTAGTGTGTGGACTACACCAGCTGAGTTTGGAGTGAACCGTCAACTGCTTTACAACAAAACAGCCAGTGTACAGCCAGCAAGTGACACACAGAGGATGTTTTCAGTTACATAAATCCATGCAAAAAAAAAAGTACATGGGGGGTGACAGTTCTCAGATGTGTCATACATGCCTGATTGTGCCTGCAAGAGTCAAACACCTGTGTACACGCAGGTGTTTGAATTTGTTCTAGCAACACTCTTTCACATACATCAAAGTATCAGAATCAGTTTTGTTTTTCAGATGTGTATGCAGACATACATATTGCGCCTGAATATTAGCCTGCAGTAGTTGTGTGCGGACAGGGTTCCTGAAGATGTCTTTACACAGATCCCACTGAAATATACTGGATCCGGAGTGATAACTGGTCAAGCGGGAATTCACATGCTGCATTGTCTATTTATTTATCAATCCAGTTCTTAGAAAAATTAATGTGTTCTAGTAATTACTGGTTAAAGGGGCAGATCTGTCAAGAATACATTGACAGAATAAGTGCAGGAGACTTTGGCTATTGTATTCAGGAAAGTGAAGATTTCATCCATAATGTATTAAGAGCCTGAGAGAAGAACAAAGCTATTAAATTACATTAGGTTCTTGCTCATTCAGTTCTGGCTTTTTATAAAATAAGCAGGCAGGGAAGTCCTGGTAAGTGGAGGCCTATATACAAAACAACATTTTGAGGTAAGAAAGCAGTGATAATTTTTATTATTTACTGTTAGTGGAGGAGATCATGTATTGCACTCTGGATAAAAATTATAATTATTGACAGTCTCCTGTATACATAAAGCTATTATATCATTTAATGTATGCCTTCTGTTCTTCTTTACAGATGACCCTCATAAGCCAGAGGAGAAAGATGAAATTTCCAAAGTCACAATCATAAGTCTTGTCCCATTACTGGTGATCTCTGTTGCTGTGATTGTTATCTTTTATGCCTACCGCACTCATAAGAAGAGAAAGCTCAACAAGGCATGGGAGAAGAATGTTAAGCCCAGGAAACATAAAGACTGCAGTGATGTTTGTGCCATTATGTTAGATGATGACCGCTCAGACATCAGCTCTACCTGTGCCAACAACATCAACCACAACACAGAACTGCTGCCCATTGAGTTGGATGTTGTTGTTGGCAAAGGAAGGTTTGCTGAAGTGTATAAAGCCAAATTGAAGCAAAACACATCGGAGCAGTATGAAACTGTGGCAGTCAAGATTTTCCCCTATGAAGAATATGCTTCCTGGAAAACTGAGAAAGACATTTTTTCAGATGTAAACCTCAAGCACGAGAACATCCTCCAATTCTTGACAGCAGAGGAGCGTAAGACAGATCTTGGTAAACAGTATTGGTTGATCACTGCCTTCCATGCTAGAGGAAACTTGCAGGAATATCTCACACGGCACATTATCAGCTGGGAGGACCTCTGGAAACTGGGTGGGTCCTTGGCCCGAGGGATTGCCCATCTGCATAGTGATCACACACCCTGTGGTCGCCCCAAAACACCTATCGTGCACAGAGACCTGAAGAGTTCCAACATCCTGGTGAAAAATGATTTAACCTGCTGTCTCTGTGACTTTGGGTTATCCCTGAGACTGGACCCTTCTCTGTCTGTGGATGACTTGGCTAACAGTGGGCAGGTAAGTCAAAAGTTTGAAGCGGGGGGTGTTGTACCAGTTGGTGTGTCAGTTCCTGGGGTGAAAAGAGGAAGAATTCTATGTTGCCATATTTATTTAAAATCTTAAAAAATGAAAGTGACAGTATTTATAAACAGAGGCTCTAAACGTAACATTAAAGCTACAGTGAGAAATGTGCAATGAAGGTTTTTTTATGATCAGAGAGCTGCATATGTATACAAGACAACCATCCTCTTTATACACTTATACTAAGTGTGTATGAGCTCGTTAGCAACTGTTTGTGGTGCTGCTGCAGTGCACACACACACATATGATAAGGATGTGCTTCACATTGTGAGGTTGTACCACAGTTTTCATGCCTGATGGCATTACAGTTTTGTGTGAGGAGACCCACTCCTGGTGTATCCCAGCATATGTGAAGTCAGTCTTCTATCTTTGAGAGGCATAAGCAGATAACTAGAGTGATAGATAATAAGTCTAAAAGGCCAAAAATAAACTTGTTTAAGATTATGGCACTTTCTCCAAATGCAAGAATCTCAAATAAAAATAATTGCCCTGTTGTTGCTTTTTCAACTAATTAACATGGATAATGCTCATCTACTTCACAAGGATGCCAGGAGGATGTTTATGAATGCTTTGAAGATGAAATTTTTCAAGTAAATCTCTAAATATTGGCTCTTCTAATGAAAACTCCCGTATAAATTCAGACCATTTGTTAAGTTAATTAATTCATAATTATTTAATTATACATATATTTATACATGTATTTTTATATTTATATTTTCATACATAGGTACCATCAAAGCCTGTCCATTTACACTGACTTTTACTTCACATGGAACTAATATTTTGATTTAGAACATTTTCAGGGACACTTCTTCAGTCAGTAGTGCTCTGTGAAGTTCATGGGAGCTTTGCTGTTGTTTATCTAATGAAGTTCTGTCTTTGAAAGTCTCCTTAGTGAGAGGCAACTGTCCTGATCTCATTTTGAGAGGGTTTATTAACCAGCACCAGCAATGATAACCAAGGAAGCTGTATTTAAAATAATACAAACATCACTCACAATTACATCTAATTTCTCTCCAGCATGCCAGACCTTTTTGGAGTTCAGGGAAGTCATACCATATTGTAAGTCATAAGACTGGTTCCATTTGGAATAAAGTGAAAACAGAGTATTCAGCAGTGTAAGGCAGGTGCTCTGAAACTCAGCCCCACAGACACTTTGATTGCTTAAAGCCAACTCATATTTTAAGCTGATTTCTCTGGCATTGCTCACAGACACTTGAAAGTAGGAGGGTAGCATTGATACTGCCACTTCCACAGTCCACACCGACACTGACGGCAGAGTACAGTGCTGCCCAGAGCAGGTTACTGCTTTGGAATCGGTGTCCTTGGGCACTGGTGATGAGGCCCACTGTTTTACTTTGTTTAGCTTCATTGAATTTGTTTGAGGGTGACCTAGCTAGTGTCATTCTTCTCTGTGAGGAGGAGTAAGATGATGTGAAGTGGCTCCACTTCAACCTCCACCTTGTTTCTTCTGGGCACACAGGCACCACCCACTCAAATTCTCCAACATGCCAACTTCAGTGCTGCAGCTTTTGCTAAAGGGGTCTTGCACCAGAATTTGCCTTATGCATAATTTCTAAACTTTACCCTTTGACTCAAACCTTTCCTACCAGGAGGTCCAATCTTTGAAGGTATATAATGGAGCTGACCCAAATCTTAAATCAAGGAAACCTCCAGCTTCCTATGAAATAGATAAAAGAGTGTAAGTATTTTACCATTTTTCTGGTCAGCCTTAGTAATATTCAAGGCAAGTTGTTGGGGTTACAAAGCCATTTTCTTTCCCATCTACCCAACTACCTTCCATATCCTGCAAATGTAGCCATTATTGACCATACAGTACCAGTGCCCTTAGTGACTGGCTGAAACGGTCTTTTTCCCCATTAGAACCTTTGCAGTCTTTTCGGTTTGGCCACCCACGATGGATAATATTTGCAGACATTACTTAATGTGAGTACATAAGTCTGGACCTTTGTCCCATTGTGTTCAAAGGACTGGTAGGTGCCAGCAAGGCCATCAGTTCCTCACCTCAGCAGCATCAGCAACCTTGTAACAGATGGTCTCTCTAATCAGATAAAGAGGGATATCTACTACCCCTCTGACTGACACACCTCAGGGCACAAAGCATCCCTCAACAGCTTGAAAGAAATGTAAGGCCTCCAGTAAAAAAGATCCAAAAGTCACAAAAATTATAATGATGTACCACAGGAAGAGAGATGTTCCCTCACTAGAAGTTTTGGAGCAGCAAGAACTGAAACCAGACTGGTCTTTGCAAAGAGAAAGCATATCCAGACTCCAGAGGGGCAACCAACTCTGAATTGCTGGAGTTTAGATACCTAAAATGGCTTTGAGACTCAGGGCTCAGGTTTCCGTGAGATACAGGAAAAGTATCTCTGACCCAAAGACCTAATAATCTAAATGCAGATAAAAGGACACAAGCAGAGAGGAGCACATGATAAATCCTAAGCAGGATGGAAATGGGATTGATTTGATACAATTCTTCAAATCATTTTAAATTTTCTCCACATTTGCCACCGTACTTTTTAGTTATAGGGCTTGATCCTCCATTGTCCAGCAAAGCTGCAGAATAATTTTCACTGCTGCAAAGAGTGTGAAATGCCAGACCAGAACAGCACGTTGTGACAATGTTAAGAATCTGTATTTAGGCACCATTAGCTCTTGTTAAAATCAGCAGGATTTGGGGGTGTGGGACTGTGGGCCATAGTATACAGGTAACCCTTCTTAAGCTTTGGATGGGGTCTGCTTGGGGAAGAAGTTGTGTGTTGGGGAACGGATTGGGGGTAGGAACAGCCTCTGCTGCAGAATTTCCATAGGTTCATGTTCTGTAGGGGAGGGAGATGCTGGCCTATTCAGTGGTGCTGAGACATGATTGTCCCAAGTACCCATTCAGGGTGTGGCTGTTGCTCACATGCTTGGCCTTAAATTCATCACAGAGTCCACCTAAGAGGGAATTTAACTTTGGGACTGATCGCACATGGTTTTTTCTGTCCTCTGTTGATAAAGGCTTTGATCCTACAACCACTTGGATGTTTCTGACACAGAAATTTGCTGCTGTTGCAGGGTCCTATGACAAAGCTATGTCCTTGATCTTTCCTGCTGTCTTCTTACGGTGCACTGCATTTTTTGTGGAACTTCTTCCCATTTGCCCTGAGCCTGGGGTGATAAGACATGTTTAGAGAAGCTTGTAAAATGGATGTTGTAGGGCTCTCTCAGGGACCGTACATTTACTATGTGGCTGCCTGCAATTGCAGACCCAGTAACTGAAATGATCTGTTGCAGTCCTGCTTGCCGCTGGGCTCTGTAGTGCAGTCTACAAATAGCTCATTTGAATCACAGGTCCTACTGCATCACCCACTTGTGCTTGTTCATCTCTGTGATTAACCAGTCTCCAATCTGAAACTGTCTTTGCCTGATCAAAGACTTATTATGTTTGCAGTTCTTCAAGGGGGGTAAATTTTTTATACCTACCCTGTGAAGAGTTTGTCATTTGAGAGCAACTGTTGAGTGATCCAAAAATTCTTCCTTAAATCCTTTCTTGTGATAAAAACAGACGTTTAAACTTTGCCTTCTGTAATGCAAGGTCATAATCTAGATTTCAGCAAAGCTGCTAAAATAATTGCTGAAAATTGCACAGTATGAATAAAGTTTATGAGAACGGTTTTTCAAACAAAGGGGCTGATTTTTGGTTTCGATTCAAATGTGTGCTTCTGCATTCAGTATTTGTGTATTTGCTTTCTTCTGCCAGGCCTGCATTTACCACTTTCCTTTTAAGCCTACCATGAAAAGAAACAGCTAACACTGTAATATGCAGTGCAAAAGAATACAATGTGTTTCTTGCTCATCCGAAACACACTCGGTCAGTGGCAATTGCTTCAGGCCCAAAGGGCAGAGTTTATCTGTGAACAGCCAAAGAGTGAGAAAGCTTGTTAGTGTCAAAATTATTTGCTTAAGGAACTAAAAAGGGCTTCTTTTTCTTTCTTTACCAAGGGAGGTGCAAGTAAGTTGGTAGTCAGAACAATGCCAGATTCCCCTGGCAGCAGAAAATACAACCTGTGCCAAGTATGGCCTGCATTTTTGGATACATGTCAAATGGCACCGTTTCTGTGAAAGCTGAAGTTAAATCACAGCAGAATCCAAAACATGAATTACAATTGCAGCTCCTGAGCTCTTCCCAATCTCCTCTCCTATAGGTTGGCACAGCAAGGTACATGGCCCCTGAGGTTCTGGAATCCAGGATGAACCTGGAGAACGTGGAGTCCTTCAAACAAACCGATGTGTACTCCATGGCTTTGGTCCTCTGGGAAATGACATCTCGCTGTAACGGCGTCGGAGGTAAGTGCCATCAGTTTTCTTCTCTCTAAAAGTATGTTTGGACAGACAGGCTCTTGTGGTTGTCTGGGGAGGGGATGATTCTTTTTAACTCCCACCAATTGTTCTAGGGTACCTGGATGCTGTAAATTAACAGGCCTTTGGTAGTATGAGATGCGCATGTGCATAAGCAGGCTTGAAGGGTAAGCACCTGAGAGAATGAGAAAATCGGTCCTGGATTGGTGTAAGGATAAATCTGCTGTTAGGTAGACTATTTTTAAAGATAATTAATGTCTGTTTTTTCCTATAACATCTTGAGTAGCCATGGATTGAGTCAGTCTGGTTGACCTCACCCAAAATGATTAGAAACATAAGACAATTTGAAATATTACGACCAAGAAGTGATAACTGCCTCCCATTTACTCTCATAGAATGTTAATTCTGAAACCTAATGATGTCTGATTTTTCCTGTAACATCTTGAGTAGCCATGGATTGACTCAGTCTGGTTGACCTCACCCAAAATGATTAGAAACATAAGACAATTTGAAATATTACGACCAAGAAGTGATAACTGCCTCCCATTTACTCTCATAGAATGTTAATTCTGAAACCTAATGAGGGCCAGTTAAGTGTCGCATTTACTAATTGATCATTTCAGTAAGAGCCATCATAGTGATACAGAAACCTTCCTTCTTTCCCAAAATCCCCAGCTGCTGCTCATCATTTTTTGTGATGTTGTAAGAGATCATCCATATGAGAAATCAAGGGATGTTTGTTGTATGAAGTGCAGTAACAAAATAAAAATGATTGGAACTATCAGAACAGCTCCAGGAAGAGCTGCTGTGCTTCTTCATATTCAGAGTTTGTTCACTGAAACAAAAATCTCCATTTCTGCTTTGCCTAAAGCTGCCCCAGAATTCCCAGTGTGCAGCACTGGTATGTGCTAGAAATCAGAAAAGTTGCTGTTGAGATATCTGCATTACATATTGCCATGTTTGAGGATTTTCACCTTACTTCAGGGACTAAAATGAGACTAAGTTACATATAAAATTCTTCAGTCTGCTGGTATTGTCTAACATTCATTCTAACAAAAACTGCCGCACAGTCCAGGGCTCTCACAGCCAGTCTAAGGAGTGGGGCTGTAAAAGGTAACACTAATGTGGGTATTACAGTAGACATGCAACTATGATTTGATTTGTTATCCTTCTTTCAAAACCACAGAGGCTCCTTTTTCTTCGGACTTGGCACGGTTGCATCTCGAAGGGCTGCCACAGAGACAGGACAATCTTGCAGGCTAGAGCACTACAGTATGGGGAACACAGTGTACAGGAGGGAAACCAATGTCCCATGGGAAGATGTGCATAGCTGCTCCTTGTTTCTCTGCTAACATCCGTGGGATACCACAAGGGTGTCCATGGAGGTCTCTGAAGCCACTCTGCAACAGTGGCTGTGTGGCTGCATCACGGTGTCCGTGTGCAGGCGGGAGGAATGCCTCCACCTCAGTCTCCTCCTATGCCTGACGAGCATTTAGTCTTGTTGGGTGGGCTGGACTGTGGGCAACAGATTTGCCCCTGTTTGCACCCTGCTGGGAAAGCTACAAAGCAAGTATGTGTGCAAACAGCTAGTGCTAGCATAAAAGCATGAAAAAAAATTCTTTTCTAGTCAAACATTTCAGGGAAAAAACATTTGGTGCTTCAGGAACTGAACCTCAGTCTGGCATATTCCAAGGCAAACCTATCCACATTTAACTGTCATGGTCATGCCTGTTTCTAAATGCATTGGCACAATCTCAGCCTTTTATTAGCACTTTGTAAATGTGGCTGAGGAGATTTAAAACCCGAGAAAAAGGATCTTTGCCCTGTCTCTTGAGCTCTCCCTGTTTCTTGCATTTAGGAACTCACCTTATTAATATAAATATGACCGGTTCACTGTGGAGGCTTTTATCTTTGCTGATGCCCGAGTCCCTTCCTGTTCATATTTGCTGAGTACAGTGAAATGGAGATTGTGGCAAGAGCAAACCTTATTGCTGCTGTTCTCAGAAGGCAGCTGCCTAAAAGAGGATATAAAGGGAGTTTCATAAGGAAGGAAAATCACCAGCATGTTTAGCTAGAAGAGACTGACCCGTTATAACCTTGAGAAGAAGAGCTGAACTCATTTCAGGAAAAGGAAAGATTTCTGTGGCCCAGCATCCCCTTCGCTTTCAAGATGGAGCTTAACCTCCACCCACATCCTGATTTTCCCTATTCATTTCATCCCTCAGTGATCCTCATCCCCAGAAACACATTTCTTGAATTTCATTTCTCTATTTCAGTCATCTTTTCAGGGGCTGAAGCCCCCAGCAAAACCACAGGAGTACTTGGGCAGATCTGTGGGGGTGGAACTTGGGCTTAGTGTCTTCATGCAGAGCAGTTAAATACAACTCCCAGGATGTAGCTCCCTTAACTTGTCACTGGTACTGAGCTGCAGCAGCATTGCACGGTTTCTCTCATTTCCTTCTTAGATTTTCCCCTGGTTTGTGCAGTCTGGCTATCTTTGCAACCAGCTGGTGAAATACCCTTACAGTGATTCATGACTACAGCTCCCCCTCTGCTTTCTTTCTCCATCTGTCACTCGTGAGATTCCCTCCTCTCCTCTCAGCCTTCCTGAGGAGCTGCCTCCACTCACGCAAACCCCTCTTTTCTTCCTATAGTGTTAGGCACTGAGAGAAATGACCTCACGTATAAGCTGGAGCAGGCTGACCTGATTGCAGCCAGCCTTTCCAAAGGAGCCTAAAAGATGTAGGCACCGTCTTTGCAGGGCAGGCTTGACTGTGGTGTCAGCTCCCTGTCGCTAGAGAAACCTGTGGCAGTTTAGAGGGGCAGGAGTGGCAGTCTAAGCTGAGATAGCAGCATTAGCAACTTTAATTAGGGAGGGAAGCATGTGGGGGGGCTAATTGCCATTCAGCCACGTAAAGGTACAGTGACTGATTTCTTTTTCAAAGGGAGCTCTCAGGATTCATTTGTCAGCGTGCAGGTGTTCAGTGAGTGTGGGAGGCAATGGAGGCAGGTCCTTTCGCTACAGCAGCTTTGTCAAACACAGTCTCCATGCTATGCCAGGCCTTTTCAGTCAGCAGACGTTTAAACAAAAATACCCAGCAGCATAATCCATACTGTGAAGCTGCCGTAGTAAATAAGCAGGTGGGGATCGGCTTTTGAGAAAGGCCATGCTGTTCATTGTTACTTTGTTGTGCTAAATATGGAGAAGCAGAAATGGGGCACAAGGGAGAGGGAGACAGAGGCAAAGATCGAGTTTGACTGATTTTTCACTGGAGTATAATTTAAGAGGCATATTTAGAAACTCAGCGATACTACTTTGGGGAGAACTTCAACTGCTCCACGCTGCCATTAACTTGGTATTTCATTCAGCGCAACAGCTGTGCACCAGATGCTGCATGTTGCAAGAAATATAATTTTCATCTCAACCACTTGCTTTCAGAGCGACACAGCTTTGGCGACAGAGGCAAGTGTAATTTCTCTGACAGCCTCCTAGAAAGAAAAGAAAACCATCTGTTTTGTATCGGAGCTGCTACGGGTGGGGGACTGTTGGGGGTGGCAGGGGAGAGGGAAAGGAAAAGGAACTTCTGGATACACGGGGTTGGTGAAGAGAGAGAAGAGAAACCCCTCAGAAAATGGCGACGTTGCTCATGCAGTATTGTAGTGCTTGGAGCGGTGGCTGGCTTCGGTATAGCAGCAGGGCTTTGTTTGAAATGGCAGCCTTGCTTTACCAGACCTGTGTTTAATGTGAATAAAATCACTGATTAATCTTATGCTTACTTGGAAAGAGTCAGCCAAGAGCCACAGTTTGGTAACTAAGCATTTGTGCATCCTGTACCTCATGGTAACATGAGCATGAAATGCTCAGCTTTCATCATATTGACGTGGAAAGGTGACAGTTTCTGGCGGCAGGGAGCATTTTGATAGCCTGTACAGTGGGGCTGTGTCTGCGCATTGGGCCCTGAGGTGGCTGCAGCTGGGGCCTGATTTAAACCTCTCCTTCTGTGGAGCAGAGCGCAGTTAGGGCACGCCTGCACTGGCTTGTGGTGGCATATAACCCCGAGCTGGTACATCCACACAGTGCAGCAGCACCCCATGACAGTAACTCCTGTCCTAGAAATTCTCTAAATGTCACCACAGTACTACACGTAAGGTAGCAAGTGCTGTCCTTTAACAAGCCCAGGTAGCAGTAGATAAGATCGCTGCACTACACTCCATGTTGGGCACTGATGTGCTCTGTGTTCCTCTACTTTCCCACCTCAGGATCCAGCACACAGTGACTAAGCAGCCTGTAACCGTACACTGATGGCAGAGCTCGTGCACTCCCAAACCTTTGGAAGGGTGGCTGTGTCTTTGATCATCAGATGTGAAGTCACTTAAAACATGTCTGTGCAAGGGAAACTGCGCAGTGAGTTCACCCATCCCAACACACCCTTACCCTTCCCAGCTAGCATCCGTATTCTGAAGGAATGGAATGGGGAAACCTAGGGAAAATGTGAAGTAAGCATTTGACAGCTCCTTTAACTTGACCATGAAATGGCTTTTGAGCCTCTGCTTTATGCGTTATTATCCCTTTGTGCAACAGCTAAGTAGATCCACCACCCAAATTCCTCTAGCGTAAAGAAAGACACAATCTGCACACACACAGAGGTGTGTGTCTGTGTGTGTGTGCGTGCATGAGCTGTCACAGTAGCTCCACCATCAATTGATTTATCCCTTCTGTGGCTCTCCCTTTGTAAACTCTGAAGGGAGGGGCATTTCAAAAGGACCTGAAAGTTCCCGAACACAAGCCCACTGCTGTGGACTGTGCTTCACAGTTGATTTTTGCTGGCCGCCTTTCACCTCACTCCTGCTTTGATTCTACAAATGAGCCTTCATTTCCAGCGTGAGAAGTTGCCCCACAGAAATCAGTAAGACACATCACATGAGGGAGTGTCGACAGGGTTTGTGGGTGTGCTGTTCTGACCCAAAGGAAGAGAATCTCACTGCAAAGAGCTTAGAGTAGAGTAGAAAAAGATTACATCAGTGGGGCATATTTTTCATGAGGAAGCCACGGCCAAATTTTCCAAAGCATTCATCAGACACAACAAATAGATTTTCAGTACTGTCTCTGTTTGGGGCTAAAATTCCAGTCCCAGCCTTTCTGAGAGTTACGGCCAGGCCATTGTCAAAGGAAACCAGAAGTACAGCGATTATTAGTGCAAGATAGCTCACAACCATAAAGATTAAATGCTGGAGGTTAAAGTTGAAGGAACTCTGCCATTACTGAACACTAAAGGTGCTGTAGTTCATGGTACCTGAGGTATTTATGGTACTTCAGCCAGTTGTCATTTTTAGTGCCTGACTGGTCTAAAAACAATCAAAAGAAACATATAAGGCATGAAAAATAGATTCAGCATCTGTATACAGCCGTGCACAAGCAGCTAGGCACAAACACCTTAACCTACCTCAAATTGACATCTGTTACATCTACTGTAGCACGTCAACATGATCCATGAATAGCCCCAGCTATTTCTGCAAAATGTGTCTGACACCTGAGATTCCACAGCATAAGGATGATCTACTGTGAGAGGATTCAGTGGGCTTTTCTTTCTAAGGGAAAGAGAAGCAAGATAATAAATAGCAAGAAGATGCTGCATGCTTTTCAAACCGAGGGAAGGCACAACTGTAGTACTATAAAGTCATTACTGTGAATTGGCATCTGGCCTCAATTTCTCTTTCTCTACCATTAAAAAAAAAAAGAAAACAAACAAACAAAAAACCCCCAAACCCCCAAAAAACCCAAACCTGAAAAACCTCTTCACTCTTTATGTTTGGAAGAGGAAGGCTCATAGCATAGAAAGAATTTCTGAAACAGGGAAAATGTATTACAAACCTATCAATTCCCCGGGAAGGCTTTCCCTTCCCCCACTTGAACCATCTCATGAACCTGAATGGCCTTTGGATTAAGCTCATCAAGAGGGAACAGGTCAGCACCGCAGCACCAGCTTCCCTCTGTTGGACATTCGGACTCCTCTGACTCCTCATACTGCAAGAAGATCTCAGAGCCTTGGCTGGTGTCCATGACCACTACCACAATCAAACCATGACTGATGGAGATGGTGTAGGAAATGGCTGTCTAGGTCACGCTATTTAAATTTTCCCAGCAAACTTTAATGCTTTGGTTAGCTTTGAAAGTAGAGGTATCTGCTTTGTAATCGTTATGCATCTGCTGCATAAGTAATCCAGGTCTGACCAGCAAGATGGCAACTTCCCAATTAACTTCTAGGGCTAAAGTCTTGTAAATTTACTTTGGCTGAGTAATCTCTAACTCAGATTAATGCGGGTGAAACTGGTATGCCTTCTTGTAGAGGAAAGAAAGCAAGCAGACTTTGGCCCTTGAGTCTTAAAGAAAGTGATTTACGTATGAGAAGGTAGGAGTTGTGTTTCGGGACTATAGCCACTCTCCAGAGCATTGTGTGGACAGTGGCCAGCACCAGATGGTTCAGGAGAAGGAAGGAGAGCTCTGCAGGAGGCATCTGTGGGGTGATCTGCTGCACTGCACACACAGTTGTTTGCAGCTGGATCTCTAAATGCTGAACATTTGAAGCACAAGGTTTAATATCGCTTCCAAAATGTTTGTTATTATAACTTGGCTATTCTTTTTAAGCTTTAGAAATTCTTTTTCTGTAGCCTGATAAAGTCTTCATCTCGTGGCCATCACGTAGAAGTGAGATCTACAGCCTGACTAAGGTTTTGGAGAAAAGTCCACCTTTTAGTTATGTTCGATACTACCTTGTTTTTATCATGAGACATGACAGAAGGATCTGACCTGTGTCAGATAACTAAACCCATTAGTTATTTTAAGTATTTTATCATATGACCCCTTACCTTTCTCTCCAAAGTAAACAAAGCCAAGCTTTAGAGGTTCTTCCCATTTTTGGGGGGCCTTTAATCATTGTTATCACCCTTCTAGGAGCTTCTTTTTACCATAAAATGCCCCTTGAGAGGAGTGAGCAGTACTGGACACTGCATTTGAACTTTGGTTGTAACATTACACAACAGTACTGTGTCTCCTGTCTCGTTCATCACTCTTCACACATCTTCTGGGCACTCACATGCATTCTTCAGACTGCCTTGTAGATTACACTTCAGTTTTTCTTGCCCTCAATTAATTCCTAGAAAGAAATAAGAGGCAGCAGAACAGGCCAACTTCATAAATCTTTATCTAATACTAGCAAGTCATTAGGCCTGTGAGTAAAGTCTCCATCTGTTCCCAAAGAAACCACAGCATTTTCTACACTGTGTCAGCATCTACTATAATATTTCCGCTCTCAGAGATTTCTTGAGTTTTCTCCAAAGGTCCCATATGTCTGCCTCTTCCTTTCTCTCTCCAAAGAAAAGCAAAGAAAATATGCAACATGCAAACAAAAACTAGAATGGCAGCAGCCCCTTCAGGAAGCTGTGCCCCCTGCATCATGGGCCAAAACTGACCCATTTTGGGAAAGAGGCCTAAAATAAGAGCAGACTACTACTTTCTATAAAGGAATGCAGCTCAGTAATAAACAAGGGCAGCACGGCAGCTTCCAGCACTGCTCCTTACTGTACCTTTGTCCTTTTCAAGCAACTGTTTCCTCCTAGCAATCTGGCACATTAACATCTATCATGACCTAGATAGATTTCAGTTTATATTTCACCTGATAAGTGTGTGTGGACTCCAGGGGACCTAAGGGGGACCAGTTCTTGCAAGCCTGACTGAAGCAAAACTCACCTTGAAGCTCCTGTGTGTTTTGCTTCAGCACAGATTGAAAGGCTCACAAACCATTATAGGTTACTCTGCTGCTCTGACTGTTGCTAATATGATTATGTACTAAAGGATTTAAATGAAAATTGTTTAGCTGGCTGGGAAAGAAAAGGGGAGGGAGGGGGCGTGTGGGAGAAACACATTTGAAACATTTTTGAAAATGCCAACCGGCTTTGCTTTGTTTGGAGCTGGTCAAGCGGAACAGTGGCACTGAGCAGCTAATCAGTAGCTCCTACTCCTCCAGAGAACAGCCAGCTCCCTTCACACTTGGCACCAGCGCAGCCCAGCTGAATACCCTTGTGTTTGCTTATTCTCTTGGCAGAAGTGAAAGAGTACGAGCCCCCGTTCGGCTCTAAAGTGCGAGAACACCCCTGTGTGGAAAGCATGAAGGACAATGTCCTAAGAGACAGAGGGCGACCCGAGATCCCCAGCTCCTGGCTTAACCATCAGGTAAGAGCACCACATGTGAGCAGCTGGGAGCTGCATTATACATTTAGCTGCTGCCTGAAGCCTGAGCCTTAACTCAGTGTCCTGTCCAACAGGCTGGACCTCTCTTTTGCACAGATTAGAGCTCTGTCACATGGTGACACCGGTGCTGCCGTGTTCAGACACCACAGTGCTCTGCACCATGCCTAGCCCAAAGCCCTGGGATTTCTGCTGCCCACCAGTGTAATCTAAAAGTGATCAAAACAAAAAGATTGGAAACCTGAGATGCGACAATCATCTAGACAGCTACAGAATAATTAGGGCCTTAAAGCACACTGTGCGCAGGCTCTGAAAGGTCAGAGAGAACAACTTCACACATGGGCCCCTTCAGCAGAGAAAACAAATCTCAGTACTTTATCATGGAGAGCAGTCATAGTTGTATCCCAGCTGTTGACAGGTTTAAGAAAATAGGAAATGGGTCTTCAGCAAGCCAGTCTGTTTTTATTCAGGTTGCGCATTAGCAGTCCATTTCCCTTGCATGTCATGAAGCACTCTGTCAGCTTTCCCCATTCACGGACACCATGGTTGCACTTCCTAGGCAATAGTTGCAGCCCGATTTCTCAGTAGATGAAACGGAATGGAAACAAGCCAAAGGCATGCATTTCTTCACCTTTGCTCTGAGCAGTTTTATCAGAAGAGATAAAATGAGAATCGTCTCAGAGGAGACGTGAGGCTTGGTCATTCCACTTGTCAATGAAATATGTTAGCAGTCTTTACAGACAAAAGGAAAGCATCGTGGACATTTATAAAAGCCCAGGCAACGAAGATCAGCTAGTATTTCCATCAGGAGCAATGTAACACTCCCTTTTTCATTCCTGTTGAGATGTTAAAATCACAGTCTAACACCTACTTAGGAAAGGCCAAGTGAGTGGCCAAAATCAATCATCTTTCTGACCAAGAACAATGCATCTGCTGCCTGATGACTATGGCAGAGTGCAGCCCCTTCCTGGACCACTTGCTCCTTATGTAGTCATCTGTGATGAGTATGGTTACTGAGGAGGGCTGCTTTAACTGGGGAAGAGAGCTGTATTTTGAGGGACACCTGGATATCTGGTGTTACGAGTACTAAAAAGACCTTGACATTTCCATGATATGATTGACATGCCATAGATACAACCATCTTCTAAATGACAAGTTAAGCTGGGAAGGAGAGATTATACTAACGCTCATCTTTATAGGAAAGAACTGTTTGCAGAAATTTTATAAAAATTGTGGATGAGCTGGTAAAAGGGATCATGAGTTGACTGCAGTTGTTTGTTTTCCACAAAGCCAAAATGAAGTCCAAACTGGTAATACATATGTGGTACTTTAGGAGAGCCCAATTAACAAAGCAGAAAAGAATCCTGAGCCAGATCATTTCGGAGATAAAAATTAAATAGTAGAAAATGCTTAAAATTAGGAACAGTGTGAGAACGTTTCTCGGGATATTCAAAAGACATGGTTTCATGTGTGAAAAAAATTATAGTAAAGAAGGGTAGAGAACTGATTAGGGAGACAGAAGAACAACAGGAAGATCTGTGGTTAGCAAACTTGAGGATAACCACAGTTTTCTCAAGAGCAAAAGGAAATCTAACAGTACCAATCTGTTGCTGGATATGAAAGAAGGATACTGCTTATGCTAATGCAAAGGCAGACATGGTCAGCAAATATTTCTGTTCTGCATTTGGGAAAAGTCAGATGATGTACATGTAATAGAAGGTGATGGAAGCTCCTATAAAGCAAAAGTCATTGGCACTTGAAGCAGGCGTGGGGCAGTGTTAGGTGGCCCAGAGACTTGTCTGTGTTCAGGACAGGGCTACTCCTGCGGGCACTACGGCAGGGCACTGCATTACGTGGCAGTAGACACAGGCAGTATCGCCAGTTATGTCTTGGAGAGAAGTGTCCAGGCACTCGTTTCATGCACAGCCAGGCATAGCGGCAAGCGTAGGTGTGCCGGCGTGCCCAGGGCGCCTGGGCAGGGAAGCACTGGACTCAAGTTCCCCGTGGTGCTCAGGCACAGGGCAGGCCCATGGCTGCTCTCATGGCAGCAAGCCTGAGTGTGTGGAGGGCTGCAGCTCCAGGTACTGGAGCAGAGCTGTGAGATATACTGTGAATTTCGTCACCTCTGGGTTTACATAGCAAGTAAAATGATTGCAGATTTGGACCTAGGTGTCCTGCATTCGACTTCAAAGATTTCTTCCCTATGTAAAACCCAGACCTCAGCCTGCCTCCAGTACAGGGCACCCCACCGACTGGGAGGACCACGCGTCTGCGCTTGTGTGTCACTGGGACGGGCACAGCTGGCTCCAGCAGGGTTCAGCTAAGAGAAATGGGAGGCAGGAAATGGGTGCCTGATAGCACACTCACAGGACATTTAATGAAGGTGGATTTAATTGCCTTCGCCTGAATCCCTTCAGCGTTTCACATTGCACTATCTAAAATGTGGTGATGCATCGGCTTCCGCGGGGCTGTGACGGTTTGCAGCAGCTGAGGATCTGCTCTGAACGCCATAGAAGTTGCTCTTACTGTAACGGCTCTTCCATATTCATTTCCTTCCTCTGCAGTCGTGTTTTTGTAATGAACTCATTATTCATCGTGATAAAATTCTGGAATGGATTTACATATTACAATTTTTCCCCCCCTTAATGAGATTTGTTGCACTATTGATTTCAAGTTAATGTTTAATATTTAATTTAATTTACTGCTTGTAATTTCAATGCCAGCAGAAAACTAATGTTATTTGTATACAGACAATAACGTTCTGCTATTAACATTGACATCAGTCAACATCACCAATTAGGTAAATTATGCAATTAATGCAGTGTTGTGAAATGTTATTTTTTTAAATAAGAAGTTTAAGATAAATCCTACTTAATGGGCTTTTAGTGTCATAAGGCAAGGCACACAATTTCCTGGCAAATACCTCATGTTTATAAAATGCATTACAGAGATGCAACTGGTTTTTGCTCCTGTAAACATGTGCATCAGCATTGAAATGAAGGTTAAATAGTTACATCTGTGAGTGACATGTGTTTAAGTGTTTGTGGGACTGTGGCCCATATTTGCACATAGATTTAGTTAGTCTGCAAGGAATTCATAAAGGGCTGATGCAGGGCCTGATATTGCTGGCAATCAGAATTTTGTCCGAAAAACCCGAACAGAATTCAGGCACGCAAAGGCATGGGTTGAGCAGGAAGTCACGTTATCCAAGAATTCTGATCCTATTTATTAAAAAAAAACCTCTACTTGATCCTACAGCACTAGTGCAAAGCATCATTTTTCTTGTTACAAAGTATCAGAACATATGCCCAGAAATGACAGTACCAACTAAAGTGCTGAAAATACTGCATTAGGGTTTCTTTTAAAAAGATAAGAAAAGCGTGCCCCCCATGACAGTAGCAGCAGAGCCCATAAAGCACCTCCAGGACACACGTGAATAACCCCCTGAACTTCAGAGGGCACTAAAGCAACTCTCACACCGGGGCTTCGGCGGGGACTGGCCCCGTCACGGCTGCTCTCTCTGTGCTCTCTGCAGGGCATCCAGATGGTGTGTGAAACTCTTATTGAGTGCTGGGACCATGACCCTGAGGCCCGGCTCACGGCGCAGTGCGTTGCGGAGCGCTTCAGCGAGCTCAAGCACCACGACAAGTTCTCGGGAAGAAGCTGTTCGGAGGAGAAGATCCCTGAAGATGGCTCCGTGACCACCGCCAAGTAGCGCGCACCCAAGAGCTCCGAAATGGAGGGAAGTCGCTCCTAGACGCGTTCACCTTGGCAAAGGAAGAAGTCTCGATCGGTGCCTTGACTTGCTTCCTGGAGGACTGAGGCTGTCACTACTCCCTTTAGACTCCGGCTCCGGACAGGGAGATGTATTCATGGGAATTAAAAGCCAGGGAGTAGGTGTCATACCCTAGCATTGGCTGCCGGCATCATGTCGTAGGAGGAGCTATGTATGTTAGCACTTCCTCAGGAAATGAGATTTGAAAATAATAACATTATGCACTTTATTAATGCCTGTATATAACTATGAAATTGCTATTTTTATATATATATACATATATATATAAAAAATGTGTGTGTATGTATATATATCTATCTATCTATATATCTATAAACAGCCATGCTCTGAAAAAAAGAGTTAAAAAAAGAAAAAAAAGTGCTTCCAGAAAGTTACCGGTGCGTTAGAGATCCCTCCCCCTTAGGGAAGGAGCCTGGGGAGACTGGCATAGCACGACACCAGCCATTGTGCACTAAACGCTCTGCCAAAAAGATGGGAATAATACGCGATAAGAAGATGGCTTTCAAAGCATGTGCTGTGAACACCGTGCTGTGAACACCCGGCTGTGGCCCTGCCGTTCGCAGTTGCAGGAGCAGTGTCACAGCAGACAGGCCAATTTGGCTTTGCAGTTGTACCTACGCATTCCTGTCTGCAGCACCTTTTGGAAGGTTCAGGGATGCCTTTGCCCTCTCACCGTAACCCCAGTGTCTTTATAGCATCCCAGAACGGGAGCGCGAGGAGGTTTGGTCCCTCCCACACGTGTGTTTCCATACAGAGGCCATTAATGTTGTATGTTTATTGCTTTGAATTCACACTGCTTGCAAGCAGGTTGCAAAATATCAGCGGGTTGAGTTTTCCCCTCCTCCCATCCCCACCCCCCAAACCATACAAAACAAGACAGGGCCAGCAATAATCCAAGGAGATGCTTTATATTTGCTGTGCATTCTGAGTGCGGGCAGTACTATTTTTTTTTTCCTTCCTTTTACCTTGATTGTGTTGCTGTAAGAGCAAACGTTTTATTTCCCTGTACAGCGCGTCTAATTGCTTGACACACCACAGTCTGACTCTGTTCCACGCTTTCTAGAGAACAGTAAGAGGCAACAGCCAGTGCCTTTATTTTTGCAGAAGGACCTCTTAATGTTGTATGTTTATTGCTTTGAATTCACACTGCTTGCAAGCAGGTTGCAAAATATCAGCGGGTTGAGTTTTCCCCTCCTCCCATCCCCACCCCCCAAACCATACAAAACAAGACAGGGCCAGCAATAATCCAAGGAGATGCTTTATATTTGCTTGTGCATTCTAGTGCGGGCAGTACTATTTTTTTTTTCCTTCCTTTTACCTTGATTGTGTTGCTGTAAGAGCAAACGTTTTATTTCCCTGTACAGCGCGTCTAATTGCTTGACACACCACAGTCTGACTCTGTTCCACGCTTTCTAGAGAACAGTAAGAGGCAACAGCCAGTGCCTTTATTTTTGCAAAAGGACCTCGGAGGTGAGGGAAAGCTCCGTAGCATTAGGTTAATGGTATATCCTGCCCTCAGCACTGCTTGCATATAGGGCTGCCCTCAGCAAGTCAGCAATTAACAGAAAAAACCCAAACCCCAAGAAAGACGATTTATTCCAACAGGATCCCTCAGACATTGCTTACATTCCTTCAGTTCTCCAAAATGTTTAAGACAGTTGACATCACATTGGGCCCATATAAATGACAGCAATGTGTTTAATAAGTGCTAACAATTTTGTCTTCAGGAGTTTTGCAGTGATTTTTTCCACTTTTTTCTTCCTCCCGGGCATGTAAGCAGGCCTTGGCAAATAGAAATTCAGCCAGAACAAACCAGTCCTTTACAGACGTATCTGGTGCCATTTATTAAACACCTTTGACAGATAAACATCGATATTCCTCTAGAAGACATTGCCACGTAAGTCAATAGGAATCGTGCTTATTCAAATAAGAGTTAAGATTTATGATGACAAATATTTTTTTTGAAGTGGTTTTGTATCAGCTTTTTTCCTCCCCTCCCCAAAACCAAACAACTCAGAAATATTTAAACAGAGCAGGGCAAAACCTCAGCAACTGCAGTGGGATTCAGAGGAGAC